TGACATTCCAGTAAGGCAATTAACAAAAGCTTGATCTTAGCAAACATTCCTTCTCCCTCTGTTTTCCAGCAACTTAGATATCAATCAGTAACTCATTTGTCTTTGAGCCAGCAACCTTGCTGTGCCACAATTCTTATCCTGCACCACAGACTTATAGCCTGAGGAAAATTTCCAGTCCTCTGCAATGTCAATATTTGAAACTTTGAAGTACATATGCTTTATAGTATATTCCAGAGTTTCTTCATATACTCACTATACTTGATATCCTTTAGGTCCCCAAATGTTGTGTATACCCATTTAATTGTAAAATATTCCATGCTTTTTTATTCTGTAAAAACTGCTTTTGTGGGGCCGGCCTGGTGGCGCACTGCTACAGTGCGCCGCCTGGAAGTGCGGCGGCACTCCTGCCGAGGGTTCGGATCCCCCATACAGACCGGTTCCCGCTAACTGGCTGAGCGAGGTGCGGGTGCGACACTGAGGGTTGCGATCCGTTGCCGGACACGAAAAAAAAAAAGAAAAAAAAAAAAAAAAAAAAAAAAAAAAAAAAAAAACTGCTTTTGTTATTTAACATCAGGACATGTTGCTGACAAATGTTCTCTAAAATAATATGATGTTGGAAATTTTGCTGTTTGAAATTATATCAGTGAATGGAACATCCCATTCTTGTCCTGAGGATCTGAGCCATACAGGTCACTTTGACACAGATTTTCAATGCAGGTACAAAGCTTTAGATAAGGAGTTTTCAGACCTAACATTTCATGTTTAATTTAACTTTGAGGTTTCCAAGGAAACAGTACCCCGAGTCTGCTTCTCAGCTCAGGCCAGGCCTGATGTTTACCTGATGTTAAACGCAGCTCCACTTTGAGACTGTCAAAACGCTGCTTCATTTAATTTTTACCCAAACTCCCCCCTTTCCCATAATCCAATAATGGCTCTTTTGTTTGGTGAGATGGATCCACGCGTCCCCGGAGTGCAGTCTTCCTTGCTGAAGCAAGTTAATAAATCTAGCTCTGTTGACTACCGGTTTGTTCCCAGTGGACTTAATCGGAAGGCTTATCAGCTCTAAACTGTGGGCCCTAAATCCAAAAACCACAGGAAAGTTCTCCTCAATATCTTTTTACAAGACTCTTCTTTCAACAAGATGGATTCTCATCTGCTGGTAATTTAAGTCCTGCCCGATGAACTAGATGAATACTCAAGATCATTTTGCTTTCAGTTCCTCCAACACTCTAAGCTAGTTAGAGTGGCTGTCTTCTCTGCATAGAAAATTCTTCCCCTGGATCTTCCCTGGCTGGCTCAGCTCTAATGTCAGCTCTTCGAGGTTCACCTTGGCCATTGTCATTTAAAGTACCATTTCTCCTCACATTGCCTCACCCCCTTGTTGTCACTCTACCCCATCACCCTATTTTATTTTCCTTATCACTATTTGAAATTATCTTATCCCATTGTGTATTTGTTTATTATCTGTCCATCCCCATGAGGATGGAAGCTCCAGGTGAGAAGCTCCAACGACAACGTTTACAGCTCCGCATCCCCGGTGTCTAGAACCCCGCCTGTCAAACATTTGTCCAACGGTAACTATATGAATATCCACTTCATTTTGCTCCTTCCCTTTTAAATACCTTCCGAGGCAACCCCCCGGATTACACCGCCGACGAGAACTAGGTGGAGGGCATTCGGCCTCGCCATTGGCTGGAGCATTTGCCGTTGCTCCTGGCAACCACTGTTTCCCACCAGTCGTGTCGTCGCCCCTCCTGGCTCCGCCCCCAGTGCTCGGAGCCTTGGCCCTGCTGTAAAATCGGCGCTTGTCCTTTAAGTGGCGGGACTTCTGGTCACGTCGTCCGCAACCGCCGGAAGGGGAAGTTCCGCCTCGGAACGC